TGATCTTTTATGCAGAATAACGTGCAATTCACCAACTAGCTAATACAAATACTGCAGCCTGTTATTATATTAGTGGCATGCAACACATACTGTAGATGCTTGCACTTGTGGCTACCACATGTGATGTGAAGGCAATTACTAATAGATAGAAACATACGCACAAATATTGAATAAAACCTCCTTTGGCACATTGAGATTTTGTTTGGCACCAGCTTACTTGCACATAGTTTGTAGACACAGAGACATACTCATGACTCAGCAAAAATGAGGCGGTAAGATGCCTGTATCATCCCCAACCCCACCTGGCTTCGCTCATCAGTTCCCCCCAGAGTAATGTGGCCCCTGGCCCCGCTGCAGATTAGCTGGAGGAGGGGTACTCACCACACACAATGGGGCCCTTTTACTTCCAGTGGAGGCCTGGCCCTGAGCTCCAAACAACGCTCTCAGCACAGTGGGCGCTCCTTCTATTTCTCTTTTTCACTCAAATGCTTTTCTCCTTCACTCCTCTGCTTTTCTCTTTCTGCCCCCCCTTGCTCTATCCCCCTCCCACCACCACCCCACATGCTCTCCTCTCATTTCTTGGCACAACGAGCACAGACAAGCTGTTTACCTGGAAGGACTGTAAGAGGGTATAAGTGATAGTGATGATAGCTGGTGAATAAACAACCAAAAAAGAGGGGAATTCACCACACACCATTAAAGCCTCTACACACCAAGACACAGCACAGTGCTGACTGTATTTTAAACGGGAGGCTCTCATTTACCCCCCCCCCCCCCAGCCTGCAGGCAGCTACGGTGGCAGAAGAGAAGAGGGCCGTGCAGTTGCCATGTGCATGAATAAGCACAGATTTCTCTCTTTTCTACCACTGCTGCTAATGTGTGAAAAAGAAGTAAAGTTTGTGGCAACAGTGACATCCAAGAAGGATTTAAATATTTGTAAAGGATGCCAGAAAAAACAAAAGTTATATACAGGTTATTATGCAGTGAACAAAAGACTGGAAGACAGAGGCACAGGTTTTTATGCACATGGAGGTGTGTGTGTGTGTGTGTGTGTGTGTGTGTGTGTGTGTGTGTGTGTGTCTGTGTGTCTGTGTGTGTTTGACAGGAAGAGAGGCAGGCGTCCCTTCCAGGGTGAGGTGGTAATGCTCAGTGACAAGGATAAACAGCGCTGGGGTTTTCTCCTACCAGGAGAGGAGGAGGAGGAGGAGGGGTGGAGGAGGCCTGTGTCAGCCTCTCTCTCCTCCTCCTGCTTTCTCCTCTGTCATTTTTTCAATTATCCCTCTCTCCTGCGTGTCCCCATAGACCCAGAGGCAGGGCCCGCATCATTTAGACTGAGAGCCTGTTTAGATTCTGATTATAGCCTCCTTTCTTTTCACCACTCACTGCCGTCTCTCTCTCTCTCTCTCTCTCTCTCTCTCTCTCTCTCTCTCACACACACACACACACAGTTACGCACACACCACGTACTGGCTGTACATTTTTGAGCCAGCATGAGGTGTCTGCAGGTGCATCTGTTGAGGGCACACTGGATGTTATTCTTTTAGAAACTGTTTGCGTGTATTTTAGTTGTGATGATTTGGTATGCGCAAGCATGCATTAAGTGACGGCAAATTAGAAACAAGGAGAAGGTGTGAAATCCAAAGTTCGCTCCTAAATTAGAGAAGATGCAATCGTATAACCAGCCTGTCTCTATATAAACACGGTGCTGAGCCGCACTGGGCTTATTCCCCTGGCTGCGTGCTGGTTTAATATCAGATAGCCCTCCTTCCTCTCTTCCTGAGGTTTCATCTGAAATGGAAAATGGGGCTTTCCTCCTCGTTAGAATGAAAAGTCATCAAGGGAGGAGAGGAGAGAGGGATGGAGGCTCATTGAAATGCAAGTTACATCCCCCTTCTTTCTCTCTCTTCACTCCTCTGGGACTCCATGCCTTTCTCCTCCTCCTTCCCATCTTCAGGGCACTCCCTCGCTCCCTCTCTTCCTTTGTTAATCAGTTAAACTCCCTCTTCAAACAACCCCTCTAATTACGCTTCCACTCACTGTAAACGACAAGGCTGTCTCTCGCTCCCCCTCTCCTCCCTCCTTCCCTCCCTACCCCCAGCTCCCTCTCTCCAAGACAGGGGTTGACCTCTGTCAGCCGTCGACCCCTCTGCAGTGTGTGTGTGTGTGTGTGTGTGTGTGTGTGTGTGCACGTACTGTACTTTATGACTAATTCTTGCGTGACATCTTAGGTTTTAAAATCCTACTGTTATTAGTGGTTCAACTTTCACAATTATCAAACACCTACTGTACAGGATCGTGCGATTGTTCACCTGCATTTGCTGTCGCAACCATCTCTGGCTCTGGGCCACATTTCTCCATCAACAAACCTGCAGTCTCTCCATCTCACTATTTTTCAATCATTACTTCCTTTCTTCCTCCCTTCCTTCACCTTCTGTTCTTTCTTCCTCCGCGTGTGTGGATGGTATCCTTCCTTCTCCCCTCGCTCTGCTCGCCCCTCCAGTCACTCCCCCCCAAGCTTCACCTCTCTCCCACTAATCTACCACGCATCTCTCTCTTTTAAATTAACATGCAACATGAAAAAAATGGAACGACAGCGGGGGAAAAAATTAAATGCATTTAATAAATGGCTGACTTCAAGTCGCCCGGCTTTTCAGACTGTCCCTATTCACAGTCCAATGAAAGGGGAGAAATCATTCACCGGGAGAGACAAAGCCGAATGAAAATATAATTCCGCATTGTGAAGCGCTTTTGTCCTGGCCCGTCAAATCGCTAATGGCGAGGCTTTTGTTTTGTGGCGGCGCTCTCAGGCTGGCGGTGTCGTATGGCGGTGGCAACGCGTGCCCCATAATCACCACGCTTTGTGATATTAGATTATAGGGGCAATTAATGGCGTCAAACCTTAACTACTCAGCATTCAGCCTGCCACACACACATTCAGCCTTTAAACACATGCTCGCTTGCACACACAAGCACACACACATATGCATGACAGTATATCAACACTTGCACACATGGACGCGCGTTTGGTTCTGGCGTCAGAGCGTCAGCCAACACACAGAAAGGTGCTATAACTCCAGTAATTATTACGCCTGTGACTTGAAAATGTCAATGGCGGTGTGTATAAAATAGAATGTATGAGTTGTCAAGGAGGAAGAATGGGATGCACAAGAGCAATTAATTACAGCTTTTCATTTGGCAGCTTAGACTGACAGGGCCCGGTGGCGGGGGCAAGCTGGCATGACGCCAAGCGGCACCCATCACCACCCCCACCATACTCACTACACCCCACCACCCCATCGCCTCTGCCTGTTCCTTTAACAACTGCCACGACATCACCCTTCCCCTGCCTCACCCCTCTCTGACTCTTTTCTTCATCTCCCTCAGCTCAAACACAAACACACGCGCACACACACACACATACACACACAATCTCTTGTGCTTTAGCTCATTCATCTACATACCTTATTCTCTATCCCCTCACCGTTACATGTGGCTGGGAGTGTGTTTAGTTAGGAAAGCCTGCTTTGATAAAGGCAGAGTGTCGGTCGACTGATGGACACAGAGAGAAAAAGAGACAGATTGGAGGAGGGAGGCAGGGAGGGAGGGAGGGGGGAGACAGAGGCCAGGTGGGAAAATGGGTGTTAGTATTTATGGCCAATCTTGTTTACAAAGTCGAATCAGCTCTTTACAGATTTAATTTACCAGTGACAGCTATTCTCCTCTCTTCTCTCTCCACTGCACAATTCCCTCTGCCCATCACCCTCCCTACCTGCCATCCCCTCAGGTGGTGAGTAGATAGACTGCTCTGAAGATACTGCACACACTGGCACTTGTGCATGCCCACACACACACAAGCCCACACACAGACACACACAGTTTGACCATGAGAGAGATTTATATTTCACTACTGAGTGAAAATAGATAAATGGCCAATTTCAGCGGGGATAACTCACCCTTGTATCTCTCTGTAAAGCAGCCATCCCCTCTTAACGGACAGGATTATTTGTATTGAGAAGGCAGTATAGTTTATTGATTTGTAGGCAGGGAAGGAAGACGGACTCAATCACCCTCCCTTTCTCTCCCTAAATATCTCTCTGTGTCTGAACAACTCTGTCTCTTTTATTCCCCGTATTGTTTTCTCAAACCCTAATTCAGTTAATAAAGAAGCACTTTGTCAGGATTTTTGTGTGTTTTTTCATTCATACAGTCTGCATTTATGCATTCATGCGAGTGTCTCAGTTTCTGATTTACGTGGTTAGTTTGTCTTCAATTTTGCAGTGTTTGTGATCAGATCAGCAGCTCAGATGCCCATCTCTGTGTACAATGCATGTGCATTAAGAGTGCTTGCAAAACACATCTGCACGATTCACCACATTTCTCTATCCTCTCACTACCTCTTTCTCTCTCTCTCTCTCTTCCTGTGTCGCTCTGTTTTTGCCTGCCTGCAGCTCAATCTGATGAGATGTCTATCTCATCAGATTGCCACTTTGTTGTGCCTTTCTTCTTAGCCAGCCTTGACTGTGTGGGAAGAGAATCGGAGGCCGTCCTAATCATGTATTTATAAAGGCAGATAAGATTTTATATTTTATTGGGAGATTTCATAGCTGTCCTTTTATCTCCCTGTTGTCACTGAAATTGCCAGTTGCTTTTTTTGTAACAATGCCAGCCTTGTGGAGGAAAGTGTCAACAATATGTGTGCGCTGCGATGCGTCTGTCTATTTATCTTTCTCTGATGTTGCCAGTTTTTCTTAGCAGTGACTGACAAGAGAGAATAAGAGACAGCACTCCTCTCTAACTTTACCTGTCCATACCAGCATACTGTACAACCTCCATTCACATTGTTTGTTTTGAGTGGAGCATTAAGTTGCAGGCACAGTCATGCTCTGTGCCGGCTGGGCCTTTTCACACAAAGCTTAACCCATTGATTGAGCTGTTCTGCTATTGCAAGCTAGAATGTAAGTGTAATAACCTAAAATGTCTGTTTGCTGTGCTGTCTTTAGGTGCCTGTGTCCATGGCAATGATGAGTCCACAGATGATCACTCCTCAGCAGATGCAACAGATGCTGTCTCCCCCTCAGCTTCAGGCCCTGCTGCAGCAACAGCAGGCTCTAATGCTACAGCAGGTAAGGCATGCACACGCACACGCACACACACACACACACACACACACGCTCTGGTTGAAGCCGTTCCCAGGCCGGCATGTTAGAATGTGTCTGTTTTATTAGGCGCTGACACACACTGGGCGTGATTGTATCTCATTCAATGCTATGAGATCTTTGAAGATAAATACATATCCACTTATACACACAGTGTCATTTCGAGTACCTCCTCTTTAGCATTGTTGCTAGGAGAATGTGCATGCTCCCGCCTGTAGATGCACATGTGCACCCATATAGAAACACACGTACTTTTTGGCATCACCCAGTGACTCATAGTGATTCAGGAGTGTGTGTGTGTGTGTGTGTGTGTGTTAATGCCCGGCAGGTGAAAGAGGGGTTGCCATGTTGACACAAACCAATAAACACTCTTCATCTGCAACCGCCCCAACTTGTGACCCCCTACCTACACACGCAAAAACACTCAGGCAACCTTGTAAAGGCTGTGAAGAGGAGTATTAACAGAGTGAGGATAGAGAAGTAATTACGGCATAGGGGATGTCTAGAAAACACATACATAACACAAGCAGGTGAGGCCAGAGCACACAGTAGATTTAATAAGAAATAGTTAATAAGGAGTATGAATTGCAGTGGGAAGATCTGACAAAGTGTATCATCATGGAAATGTGAAATGTGATGGCTTTCTGCATGCAGATGGCTAAGAACCTCTTCACCAGCTCTTCTCTAACGAGGAAAAAGGAGATTGGAGGGTTTATAATGCTCACTCACTCACTCACACACTCTAACACACACACACACATTACACCCCCACTATTAAAACCACTGAGTTCAACATTGCTCTCCCACTTAATTAACCACAGTATGGACTTGCTCTTAGTGTATATCTGCAAATCAGGCATTTTTACCCACACACACACACACACACACACACACACAGAACAATCAACCAACATATCACTCACTGAAGCATTTAATTTCATATCCCCATGGCAATACAGCATTGTGTAAGAATGTGTAAGTATGGTTTACGGCACAGCAGCTGTGTGTTTGTATGGTGGATTTGTGTGTGTGTGTGTGTGTGTTTTAACCTTTAAGTTTCCTCTAACCTTTACTTATGCTACAGCTGCTCTGCCTTTCTTTCTTAGTGTGTTCACTAGAGTCAAGGTCATGGTAATAGGCTGGAGAGGTGAGTGCCTCACTTACACATACTCTTAATGCACAGAGCCACTGAATCAAATCATTAAAAAGACCTTAATTATCACTTAATTATTCCCTCAACTCACCACTCTCCAGTCAAGAGTGTGTGGTTGCGCACGCGCCTGTGTGTGCACTTGCATATGCATTTGTCTGTGTGATGAGGAGGCGATCAGGGCTAGTGACGCGGAAAAGAGAGATTAACTCGGCCTAAGGAGCGATAAAATAGAGGAGAGATAGATAGAAAAGAAAGAGCAGCAAGAAGGAATGAGTCGTGCATTTAAAATAAATGAAGGGCAAGAAGGAACAAAAGAACAGTAAATTATGTCAAATTGAAGCTATGGCTGGGATAAGATTGAAACTGGAAATGTAAAACAGCTTTACACAGACTGTGTTGAGGTTGAGGATGGGCAGCGGTGTGTAGTCTGCTCACTGTGGGGTCAGACGGATGAGAGACCGAAACAACTGCAGCACTGTGAAGTCATTTCTGCTGGAAAGCCTCTTTGAACATTTGACGCACCATGAAACAAAGACAAACTGCAGACAGACACATGTACTGGCTGTTCTCAAGAGGATAACCC